CATATCAAAAATGAAAAAGATAGTGGGAGTGTTGGGGACTACACTGAAGCATCATTTAGCCTTGCTTAACATTGACTCATTCAAAGTGTTGTACCCAAGAAAAGAATAAGTAAAACAAATTCAGCTTATGGATTACAATTGGAAATTTGACCAACTAAATAACGCTATAATAGCAATTCCTTTTCTTAGGACTTTTCTTTACACACATATTTTTAAGCTATCTATAGAAAACAATAAGACAGAAAAGTTAAAATATTGTATTTAACATCAAGAAAGGAATGAATCATATACCACTGGATCTGGAGCATCATCTTCTTTGCACATCACCCATGGGACTCCGGTGTCCATCTCTACTGCCATTTTGGCTGCCCAGTTCACATATGAGCGGCCCGCAGGCCCAAATGCTCTACTCTCAGGCCCATATTCATTCTCAATCTGCACCATAACTTCTCCAAATTAGCAACAAATAATCTCTTTCCACAATGTTTCATTCTTCTTATTTGTTAGTTTTGTCATGGTTAAAGAGAATAATACCTGCGAGAGGATGATTGGACCCCCCTGAGACTCGAAAAGTGATTCATTCTTCATCATCCGAACTATTTTCTGGGTGAATCCTCGCATAGCATTCTGCACCACGATTAATCACCAAATTTATAGAAATTGTTGAATTAAAAATAATGTGCAAGCAAATTATGAACGAAATTGAACAGGTTGGAGAAATATACCTTGAAAGGCTCATTGTCAGTTCTGAAGCTGATCCCAGGTACAAACTTCAACCAAACAGGAAATCCTCTACATATATAAATCAAAAGAAAAGAAAACCCATTAAATAGTTACACATTAAATTTCAAATTTTAAAAAAATAAGAACAAAACAAATGGTACCCAAAATTCCATTCAGCACAAACATAAGGCCCAATCCTTAAATGTGCATATAGACCTGCTTTCTGCACTGTCTTTATAAATCTCACCAAATCATACCTCCCCTCAAAATTATACTGCAAAATTTAATTAAAAACCATTATAAAGAATAATTTAAACTTCAAGACAAACGGAAAAAAATAGGAGGAAAAAAAAAATAATACATTGCCAGGAGAAGGCTCATGCCCATTCCAAAAAACATATGTCTGAATAACATCCAAACCTCCATCTCTAGCTTTCTGAACTAGCCCCTCCCACATCTAATAATAATAATAAATACCCATTAAACATCTTCAAGAAGTTAGTAAAACAAAATTAAAAAACTTTAGAAGTATGAGAATAAAGGAAATAATACATCAGGGGTGCTCCTTGGATAATGAATGGAGCCAGAGATGAGAATCTTTCTCTGCCCATTGATGACAATGGTTTTTTTATCGAAAGTCACACCACATTGTGACTCAGGGAGCAGAGAAGCACCCAGAAGAACCAGCAGCAGCGAAAGCTCGAGCCTGCTGCTTCCCATCAGCGCCATGGATCTCTGCTTCCTTCTTAGTGTGTATTCAAACTGAGGAGGAGGGAGATTGTGGAGGGAAATTTGAAGGGTGACAAAGTTCTTGGGCTGCAGAAGCTAGAGTGAGATCTGCCAAAGAATCCAACTGGCGGTGGTTATTATTATTGTAATGGAGACGAGGCACTGGGATGGATGGCTTGTATTTTATATTAAGGGGTTTCTGATTATAAACCCAAAGTCTTAGGGGCTATTTGGTTGTTGTTGGTAAAGATGTGTATTTATGATACAACTTGAAAAGTAATTGTCCACCTTATCAATTTTACTTTTATATTTTTCTTTATTTGTTTTTGATTCCATTGGAATCATAAATTGCTTGTTTGGTTTGCAAATGTAACTTTAATTGTTTGTTTGGAAAGTGTAAAAAGTGGTCCCTACACAAATGATCATATTGGTTGGAATTATTTTTTATTTTATTTTTTCTGATTTCAATGTCAGTTTTCTCCTAAAGTCATATTTTTTTTTTATGAAATCACTTTACAAGCCACGTCAGCATATGAAATCACTTTACACTATCTTCACAACTATAAACAAACAATTGAAAGTGATGAAAGCTGACATTAGGACCCACTTTTTTACACTTTCCCTCCTTTTACATGGTAAAAACATACAACCAAACAGCCCCTTACCCTCATTTACCAAATAATAATAATGATAATAATAATAATAATAACCCACTATGAATATCACCCCCATTTTGCGTCCGCCCTCTCTCTCCTTACAATTTAAAACTTGCACCCCAAGATTCAAGCTATTTAAGAAAATAAAGAAATTATAATAACAATTTGAATCAGGCCATTGACATGTAAAAAAGCTCATTTAAATTTTCCACAATAAAGTTTACTAAAAATACATTCCCATTAGGCACTATAATTTTATTTTAAAAAATATAAAACC